ATTTCATTACCTTTTTGAGTGTCAGTTTCCGACAGTAGTAAAAATACGAAACAAACATAATCCTATTTACTTTAATAGATATCCATGTTATCAAAAAATGATAGGCTTATTATCACTAAGTAATGTAAAAGTGTTAAAAAATCTAACACATCTTTATAAGTAAACTTAAGAACATTTTGTAAAATGATTGTTTAAAAATGTATTTTTTATGTTTTTTCCTTTGTTATACCCACCATTTTTTGTATTGTTTGTATATATGTAAATATTGTATTCCTCTTGTTACACGTATGTATTGTGTCTGAGTGATCGAATAAAAAGTTGTTAAAAACTTAACAAATGGCTGTATCTTGCAGTATCTGCTTTATTTCCTTCTGTGATGTTAATCAAAAGTGACGTTATTATGTTGACCTTTTCATCCATTAGGAGAACAGTTGACTTTTTGTCGAACATTTTAGTTATAAATTGATTGAAGTTTTCTTCGAAATCGACTTATTGTCATTTCTTGAATAAAAAGATATGAAAAATGACCATGTATAATTTTGATTATAATTCTACACTGAGTAAAATTCACTTGGGCTTTCGTTTCCACTTTATTTATAATTAATACTTAATTAATAAATCATGTAATATTATAAGCATTTGATAAAAACAAACAATAAAATTATTATTAAAAGCTTTATTCTAAAACAACTCGAAGGGTCATACCTGAAAAAAGTAACAATATTAAAGAATTCAACATTCATCGATTTGATTAGCCGGACCATACGCGTATGGTCATGACGATATGTGTATGGTCGGACCATTTGAGTATACGCATATGGTCATGACCATACGCGTATGGTCCAAATACTCATATGGTCCGGAACAAATATATACATGGTTCAAGTATAAGGAGTACATGTCAAATATGCATCAAATGAAACATGAAACAAAAACTCCGAATATTTTTTTTTCAAGGCCACATTTAAACTTTTTTTTCTGAATGGATTGAACATTTTAAGTAGAAATTACAATTATTGCATTAACAACCTCATTAAACATATTTAGATTTGAGAAATTGAAAAACATATTTCTTTTTATAAAGAAATTAGGAAGGATTCCTATATATGTGTTATCTCTTACTATTTTATATGAAAAAATGCATTAAAACATGGACAAATATCTGTTTGAACTCTCATGCTTTTTAGATGACCTCTAATGTGGTATAAAAAGTGATGTTTCTTGTTGTTCTTGAATAGTATTATCTTGACATAGAAAATGTCATGTTATTTCATAGAATTGTACGGACCAGTTTTAACAATGAAACTGTCTTTTCATTGTATGATTTTTTGTAAGTTATTTTTTTAGAATTGACATAAAACAAATCATTAAAGGAACCAAGATTGTATTTTATTGAATTTTTTTTTTCATAAATACACAAGACTTGTGTAATGAATGAGTTGAACATTTTGGATGAAAATGAAACCTGATCATGCAGTTTCATTATTGATTTTTCTATTAAGGAGACATTACTTTTAGTCCTCTGAAACGGTTTCCATTTTGAAGACAGCTTTTTTAAACAAAGACTTCAGGTTCAGATCATGAAAAAAATAATAAAATAATAAAAAATGAAACAGATAAACATAGAAATTATTATAAATAAAAAACAAATTGAAAAGAGGTTAATATGAAATTGATGATCAGACAATGAGTTTTTTAAAACATTCTTTCATTTTTTTACCTTTAGACTTATTTAAACTTTTGAAACTTGCTTTCAACTGATATAAATAGTAGTTTCCATAATCAACTTTACAAACAAATTAATAAAATAAAGGCATTCTGAAATCAGAACCACAACTGCCATGAATTTATGTTACAACTTGCCATTCTCTTATTTTATATAATGAATGTAACAAATTTATGTTTTATTATGACTAATAAAGTAAATGTCTTCTGTCTTTTTTTCTCTTATCTGGCCATGTGTAATACATTATTGCCTTAATAGGCACAAATGAGGATAGAAATGCCTCATTACTTCCTGTTTCTGATAATTGTTCCGATAAATTTTTAAACTTTTAAGACAATGTATGGTTATTCCATATGTATTTTTAACTTGGACTGTTGCAAATTGAGTAGCCAATTCTAAATTGTGGCTTTCCTGAGTTATTAATAGGTAGAATGTGAATTCTTCTCCTGCAAAATATATATCAATGAGCAATTAAAATGATAACAAAAGAAAATCATCAGTATCCTCGACTTACAATTGTATGAATTTTGAATAGATCTGTCAGAGCAGTTATTAAAATGATTCAAAACAATATACATAAACCTGTCTATAGTTTTAGAAAACAAGTTCAAATTCCATCCAAACCTGTAATTGTGCATACAGAGTAACTGCATAAAGCCAATTGTTACATGGATAACAATTTCCTCTAAGCTGTATGTGTATAAATTATATAATTATTTGGTGCAACTGTAATGCACTGTTAAAGTACATATATTAAGCAAGCCTTAGTCTACATTTTATTTAAAGAATATATGTTTCAACATAGAACTTCAAGGGTTTGTACATGTACGAAAACATGTTTTTGCATGACTTGCTTTATTAAAAGTTTCATATTAGTTTATTCAAAGGACTAACAATACATACACTGGGTAAGTCAACTAAGGCTGTGCATGCACAGGATTGGTCAACTAAGGCTGTGCATGCACAGGGTTATCTTATAGTCCACTAAGGCTGTGCATGCACAGGGTTAGTCCACTAAGGCTGTGCATGCACAGGGTTAGTCCACTAAGGCTGTGCATGCACAGGGTTAGTCCACTAAGGCTGTGCATGCACAGGGTTAGTCCGCTAATGCTGTGCATGCACAGGGTTAGTCCACTAAGGCTGTGCATGCACAGGGTTAGTCAACTAATGCTGTGCATGCACAGGGTTAGTCCACTAAGGCTGTGCATGCACAGGGTTAGTCAACTAATGCTGTGCATGCACAGGGTTAGTCAACTAATGCTGTGCATGCACAGGGTTAGTCCACCAAGGCTGTGCTGCACAGGGTTTGTCAACTTTTATTTTTCTAGCAGCGTTTTTTGAAGACCATTTTAAAACGAATGATTTTCTTAACGAAATTGCATTAATAGTCGTACAATTCCCAGTACTTTTACACATCATCCTGCCTTTCTATAAATTGGATTTCTACTTTCAAAACAAAATTTCATCGGAAAAACAGCGTGCATCATAGATAAGAATTTATTGCAAAATACAACAAAAAATTAAAAAAAAACTCAGTCTGTTATGCATAAGAACATAATTTTATAAAGATAAATCGTACAAATGCTTACTTATCAATAGAAACAGAACGTCTAAAAAGTATTTTTTACAATGTATGTAAAGAATGAGCAGAAGAATTTTCGGAAGACGACGAAGCAATCAATGTAAAAATGAATGTATTACATAAAATCTCTCGGCACTCTGCATCTAGGCAAAGTTGCAGTTAAAAATGTTTATCAAAGATAAAAGGATTTTTATTTATTTATATATTTCGCGATTAAAGTACAGCGTAGGGCCTATGCATGTATTGTGTCGATAACCGCCCGAAACACGATGGAACCTGCTACATTGACTGATATCTATGAACATAAGTGTGATTCACTTTTATCATTTTTGTTCTTTCATTTATGAAAGTTTTTGTTTGCTAATAAGTATAGAAAGCGTCGCTAAAATGAAGGTATTTTTAATATATAATCACATATATTTGCAAATTTGAAATAAAGAACATTTATCTTTTAACTAATTTATACCAGACTGAGGCCAATTGTTTGTTTAATTCGTTCTAAGTTAATATAAAACATCAGGTTTTATGTTTGCCGTCAATTTCATGGATGTCGACAAATACAAGAAGATAACTCGTGGCTTAACGTTATTCGGTATCGTGAAACCTTAAACAAACTTGGCCTATAACAAAGACGGCCTATAACATACTCGGACTATAAGAAGAATATAAGCAGAGACATTTATTCAAATGTATATATATGTCTCTAATTTTATGTAATCATATACACTTTGAAATATTATCCTTTGAATCCTAAACAAAGATCTTTTTTTACACAATAGATTTTATCCCATTTGAAGTATTTAATTATATCCTAAATGGGATATCAAACCCTATTTGGGTGATTGTCCCCAACCTGATAAAGTCCAATTAGACAACTTTCCACCAGAGACCGATGGATCGACGTGGCTGTAAACAACTATAGGTCACAGTATGACCTTCAACAATAAGCAAAACCCATATTTTGTAATGATAGAATTAGGACTTGTTATCATGAATATTTCTAACGCATTTTGCGTGAATTCATTAGGCACATACCTTTTTGAGGCTGGTCATATAATAAGATACAGAAAATTGTAAGCCTGAAGACAAGACTTGTTATTTGTAGGGAGAACTGATTTTTCTTGACTTTGAAAGCAAACATTAGTGTAATTTTTCAAGGGCTTAATCCTTTTTCATTCGACGCTTAGATTTAGATTGGGCACCTGATGTGAAAATACCAATCCCAGAAATAAAATATAGTATACTAGATTTCAAAAATTCTGCTTTGGAAAAAATAGAACAGTATAATTAAATATTTTCTTGATAACGTTAGGCAATCGGTTCCATCATTTTTCTTGTTTGTATTCAATTCACAGAACAACTCTCATTATTTCACAATGGTGCAATGACTTTGCATTTGTTTAACATTCAATCCAGTCTTGTTTGAAAGTTTGAATACTGAGTAGCTCTGGTATGAAATCGGTTTTTGGGGAAATATAAAAAAAAATTACCTTTTTTACCGCCGCCTTGGTCCATAAAACCTAAATAAAACCAACCTTTGAAAACATGTTTATTGTTGGATTTTAATCAGATTGATATTCTTTTTTTAACATCGATGTGCGTGTTGCATAAAAATTAATAAACTCACCTGCCTAATAGAATAGTCACAATAGGTTGCTTAGGAAACAAACGATCGGCAAGTAAGCAAGCAAAGGCATCAATATATAATTCTGTGCAGTTTTTTAAATTCCTGATAGAAGGAAACACATCTTTCTTTTTTAAGGTATGTTTTTGTCGTTATTATTTGAGCTGAAATATATATACACACATTAATTACTAATGTAGTAGATTTGGTGTCAGACAAAAATAACACTAAAGATAGTAATACTTATGTTATAGTGGTCAAAACATGTTCATTGCTTTGTTACTTTTGAACTTTAGATGAGTAGTTGATATTTTAGGAAACATAATGCTGGTCACAAATACAAGAGAAAACTGAGCTATAAAATTTGACTTGTTAGTTTGTATTTATACGGTCGTCTTTTGGTAATAACATCAAATGTTCTACTAGCGAAACCCGTTTCAGTTTACAATCGTTATAGGCAAAGTTATGTACCACTAATTGTTACAACGGTAACTTTTTACTTCTTAAAATCTGCAGATTCTTCTTTTTTTGTGTTTCGTGGTCTGTTCGTTTGTCTTGTACTGTTTTTGTATGGGCCTTGTGTAGTCTGTTTTTTTCGGCTTTTGGTTTTTAATTTGCGCCTTTCCTTACCCTGTATAAAAAAAAAGAAATGAAGTATGATTATCAATAAGGCAAATATCCAACAGAGTCCAAATGACGGGGATTTAAGCAACTATAGGTCACCATACGGCTTTCAAATATGAGAAGTCCCACACCGTATAGTCAGCTATAAGATCCCTCGACATGACAAAATGTGAAAAAAATCAAACACAGGTTTTGTTTACATCGAATATACAGTTCTTGTGCATTCAATTAACTTATATCAGAAATTTTACACATGATATATCAACAGGAATTTTTCGTATACTTTCATAATTTCACCTTCATTATAAATTGAAAGAACAGTATTAAAAAAAGACAAGACAAATGAAAAGTAGTTAGTTTCCATCCTCTGACAATTAAGTATCTGATTTCTGAATTACAAAGTGTTGTTCAGGTGAAATCTATATATACGAGATATAACAATAGCTAGGACTGTTGCTTAACCCAAAACAACGTTCAGTGCAGTGTATATTTTAAGATGCAGAACTGATCGACTTAAACGTTTACAGGAGAGAAAATAAGATAGTGAACAGTTTATAACAAAGCAAAATTTTATTACATATACTTGGCAGCTCACACAAGCACGATTTTTACGTAACTCTATCAGATCTACCTTATTACAACTAACAATTAATCATAATCAATACACATCAAATATTTATATTCTTAAAAAGAGTTTTTGGTTTTTGTGTTGAATGGTTGCTATGATTTTGTATTGATTATCCATGTAAAACCAATTCAGCGCACTCACCTGAAACGAAGTTGAAACGTAAAACGATTTTACTGAATTGTTTAAAAAACAAATCCAGCTAACATACTGAACAATACAAATAACTAATGAACGCCACAGCTGTCTTATGATAACGATAATCATATCATTAAGTGTTGATATATAACATGAAGCAAATTTACTATACTACTGTGTCAATTTGCTATATCACTATGATACATTTATATACTATAAAGACGTTTTGATATAACATGGAGTTACCTTTACACACTATTCTGTCATTTTACATTGTCAAGAAGATATTCGTTTATACTTTGAAGACATCTTGATATAACATGCAGCTACCTTTTCATACTGATTTGTCATTTAACTATACTAGTATGTGATATTGCTATCTCATAATGATATACTATAAAGACATCTCATTAATAATATAACATTGAGCAACTTTTTCATACTATTTTGTCACCTCACTATACTATTATGTCATGTTATTATCTTATTACGTTAAATGTGTATACTATACAATCATCTCGATATAACATGGAGCAACTTTTTCATACTTTTCTGTCATATTACTATGCTACGACGATAAAGTCGTATAACACAAAGACATCTTGATATAATATTGGACCACCTTTTCATACTATCTTATCGCCTCACTATATATGCTATTCTGACAGATTACTATATCATAATGATACATTTTTATACTATAAAGACGTATTGATATAACAGTATTGCTGACCAAGGAATATAAAAAAGGCGGAAGATTTTTTTTTAAAGTAGAATTTAATAAACTAGAGGTGAATATAGCATGTGAAAAATTACCTCCCAACTTTTAATATGAATAATATCCATAACACTTGAAGGAAAAATCAAAATTTTACCAAAAATTATACAGACTATTAGTCTATTATTAAAAACAACAGTGTAAAGTTTGAAGTTTATTTTCATAGTGATAAAATTCTTAATTTTGAAATGATAGTTTTTTTTTATAAAGCGTACTTATTCAGGTAATATGCAATAACTTTTAATAAGAAATGATACTTATGATACTTATATGATTTTTCATGTGCTAAAAGTTGTATGCCCATGTAACGTGCACTTTTTATGGACCTACAACTGTCTCAAAATGTTGATGCCCGTCTTTTGGAAAATACTTTGTTATTGGTATTTACTGCTACCCTTTTGAGTATAAAGTCAGCAATAAAACCATTTGAATTTTATCCCTGTAAAAATATGGATGTGGCTCCGCAAACGAACAATTCTTACGATTAGCCGCCAGGCTCCTCGTACGAAATTTTTTAACCAATACAAATTCCAGAAATTGTTTGTATGATTAGTTGTGAGGCTCCTGGTGTGAGTACCAGGAACTTCGTTGTGCTAACATTAATATTAATTTACTGCGACGGTTGTTCACCAATTTAAAAGATAATTGAAAAAAAGTGAATAAAATTTCCTTTTTGAGTTATTGTAGGCTATTGATTTCCAGACGGAATTAAGAAATATGTATTCTCAATATTTTCATAAAAAAATGTGAGTAAGACTCTGTGTCACTTTACCAAAAATCTTCAAAAACAATATTAGGGAAATGACATTTACATTTACATGTAGTAACAATTTCGTTACAGAATTTGTTATTTTCCCCCAAAATCTGTGCAGCTCAGAAAACAACAAGGTCCCGTTTTTCAGCCTCTGTCTGTTTAAATTGTTGACTTGTGTTTAATGCATTGCATTCAGTGTTGATTTTCTTGATAGTTCAAGATCTTGTTTTTACGCTTTCATGTTTAGATATTTTGTTATGAACTGCCAAATGGGTCAAGTTTGTTCATGTACCTCACATCCCAAGATTATCCAGGACGGAGTGGTTAATTGGTAGGAATGTTTTCTCAAGATAGACAAATGCTATCCTTTTTATATTTTTTATTTATAACAACATGTATTCCCTTTTTTATACGACCGTCAAATTTTGACGGGACGTATTATGGTATACAAATGTCCGTCCATCCGTCTGTCCGTCGTAAAAATGTCGCACCGTATCTTGCGAATGCCTTGCTTGATTATCTTCAAACTTTACACAGTTGTTTGTTATCATAGTCTAACGGTCTGTATATTTTTTGGTGAAATTTAGATTTTTCCTTCCAGAATTATGAACTTTATTCATTCAAAACGGAGGGAGACAATTTTTCACATGTCGCACTGTATCTTGAGAATGCCTTGTTTAATTAACTTTGAACTGTTCCCAGTTCTTTGTCTCAAGGTCTGTATACTTTTTGGTGAAATTTTAACCTTTCGTTTTAGTTTAATGGACTTTGTTCATTAAAAAGGGGGGGTTTCACGTCGCGCGGTATCTTGAAAATGCCTTGCTTGATTAACTTCAAACTTTACACTGTTGTTTTTAATGATAGTCTAATGGTCTGTATAATTTTTGGTGAAAATTTTGATTTTGCTTTTCAGAATTATGGACTTTTTTCATATAAAAAGTTGAGAGGCAATTTTTCACATGCCATATTCACCTCGAATTTATTAAATTCTACATAAACAAAAAAAAACTTGCGCCTTTTTTTAAATTCCTTGGTCAGCATTACAGTTATATCATTACGTCTTTATAGTATAAAGATGTATCATTATGATATAGTAATCTGTCAGAATAGCATAGTGAGGTGATAAAATAAAAGGTGGCTCAATGTTATATCAATATGTCTTTGTGTTATACGACTTTATCGTCGTAGGATAGTAATATGACAGAATAGTATAGTATAATGACAAATCAGTATGAAAAGGTAGCTGCATATTATATCAAGATGTCTTCATAGTATAAAAGAATATCTTCATGACAAAGTAAAATGACAGAATAGTATTGAAAGGTAGCTCCATGTTATATCAAAACGTCTTTATAGTATATAAATTTATCTTAGTAATATGGCAAATTGACAGAGTAGTATAGTCAAATGTCGTAATAGTATAGAAAATTTGCTTCATGTTATATCTCAACCCTTAATGATATGATTATCGTTATATATCATAAGGCAGCTGTTGCGTTCCATAGATAACGTACCTCATCTTACCATATAAATTAGTTTCACAATTTCCTGTTTTCGCTACAAATTTAAAGAAATGTATTATATCTGAAGCATAACCTTTGCAGAGTTTACTTGGACATTTTCATTTAAGTGGCCGTAATGAAGATTGCAACCTCAAAAGTCAAAAATCAAAAGTCTGAGAAAAGTCAATTTCAATTTAGTCAAATTGGATTATGAAACTGAAAACCAAAGTAATTTTCGTTGTTTTCGGGTGAAATGCTACGACTTTAGGTTTTACAAATTAGGCAACATTTTGTTTTGGAAAAGAGGGGGGATTTGTTTTTGAAATGTCAAAAAATAAAATCAAGAAAATTCTCATTTTATATATATATCCTCTCTTCAAAATCAACTGCCACTCTGATATTGATACAGCAAGCTTGCCAGTAAAATTAAAACTGCTCACAGGCTCGTATATCATACAGATCAAAAGGATCAAAATGTACGAGACCGACCAGAAATGTCTATTTTGTGCAGAGAAAGAAGAAAATATAGAACACTATATTTTAAAATGTGAAAGCCTGAAAAAAGTGTGGAAACCATACTTCATGAACTAATTACAACGCCCAACACAATGGGAATTCAATTTGTCAACCATGCAAAGAAAAACTACAACATATTTTGGATATACCGCCTGTAGTGAAAACAAAGAAACTCTCTCTAGTTTGTTTAGAACAAATAGAACGCCTTACTCGACGCCTTCTACATCAACTGCTATAGCCCGATACAAGATGTTATATGGTCAGTAATAAATCTAGTGCGAATTGACAATAAGATAAGTGAATGATTAAAGATCATCTATAAGTGATGGCGTGGTTCAGAGAACGATTTTTTTTAACAATACGTGCAAATATAAGAATAAGGTGACCCAAGTGATATAAAAGAGAGACGAAAGATACCAGAGGGACAGTCAAACTCATAGATCGAAAACAAACTGACAACGTCATGGCCAAAAATAAAAAGACAAACAGACAAATAATAGTACAGATGACACAACATAGAAAACTAAAGACTAAGCAACACGAACCCCACCAAAAACTGGGGGTGATCTCAGGTGCTCCGGAAGGGTAAGCAGATCCTGCTCCACATGTGGCACCCGTCGTGTTGCTTATGTTATTACAAATCCGGTAAATAGTCTAATTCGGTAAGTCACATTCGTGAAAAGGGAAGGGTACTGTAGTTACGACATAAGGAACATATCCGATATCATCTGTGAAACGGTTATTCCATAACGGTCAACCAACTCGTGATGGCGTCCATAAAATTTACGAAGGGATGACTTAAACTGATGATATAAACTGTATATGGTCTTACACAAATTTGTGTGTGGATAGGACTTTCACTGTAACTATGTGCACAACAGATGTTGATTGGTGGAGGGAGTAACATCACCGTACATAAAGAGAGCAACCGTTCTTCACATGAAAACATGGTAAGATGTCGAATGGTGGAGGGAGTACCAGCACTGTATACAAGAAGAGCACCTGTTATACATATGAAAATATGGTTCCTCTACAAACGGGTTTTAAAGATAAATTAGATTAGATCAGATTAGTAACAACGAACAAGTACTTGTTAGCATAATTTCAATTTCGATTTAGGATATCTTAAATATATTGTAGGAAAACAATGCATGATCATGACTGGTTTAAATTCTTAATTATTTTATTCAATTGTGACTGGTTTTTTCAGTCAAACCATTAGGTCGGCACTTGTGATGCTAATATCATTTATTTGCTGATTTAAAGATAATTTTAAAATAACTTGAAGTGTCATATTCCAAGAATTGTTGTTACTTTGTAATTACTATGTAAAATCGGTTTGGATAGATATAGAGATCATTTTCTCTGACAGTAGGTCAAGTAAGTCATCGTTTAAAATACATTATATGCAAAATCACTGTAGATTTAAAAGAAAAGAGTTTTGATTCTAAAAAAGGATTTGATAATATCTATCCTCAGATGCTGATCCAGCATTTCAAAAAATTGGGGTAACCACTAAAAGGGCATCGAAACGGGTTATTAATTGGAGAAACGTATATGCATAATCATATGTGTAGATTATTCAATTTGATTTAAATTTTCTTTCGCGTACCTACACGTCAACGGTTTTATTAAGTAAAAAGGGTTATTGTAACAAAATGACCCAGGTGGTTGTTTGAAAAATATCCTATGCTAGAATACACACTATAGATCTTTTCAATACGAGTACTGATTCATTGTCCGAAGAAAGGGGGGAGAAACTGTTCAAAATGGTAAAAATTCTTGTTTGTCATAGTTTTGTAAAACAATTTTTTTCATTATGGCCAATTGTGCGACAGATACTTTGTATTTCTTTTTTTTTTTTAATTTAATTTAATCAAAAGTTTGTTCCCCCAACCCCCTAATTTCCGAAGTTACACGGTTGTTCCCTTAAGGGGATAGAAAACAGTAATTCATGACTATATATATAAGTTATTTGTAGATTGTCCATGTTGTCTACTACCTATAATGAGTTTAAAATCTTAAAATTTTATCTTTTTTGAATATTGACACAGATTGAAGCATACAATATAATTGTTTACAAAATTATGAACAATGGAAAAGGAGCAGTTATAGTTAACTGTTTATCTATTGTGCTACGTTGTATTCAAATATTGACTGTTCTTGTAGATATAACATGTATTCGTTGTAGAACATCAACTTATGATAAGGCCTCTGATAAATATTCAAATGCTGTTTTATGATAATATGTACTTCAACATATTGGTCAGTTTACACATATTGTAAACTCATGGAAATAAATTGACTTAAAATGTACCGTTTGTGTATTTTAAAAAAAAAATTTTGTTGTTACATGTTTACCAATTTATAACCTATCGTTGTTACTGCTATGTACAAACAACTCTTTGTTTATTTATATATATATTTGAGTTTTTAAATGATTCCATCTTTTTACCGTCATTGTAGAAGGAGGTATTGAAAGGAAATCGATCGTTTGATGCCAAGAATTGAAAGAATGGTGACACTTAGAAGTTTTAGAATTTTTTTAACTCCAAATGAAATGGAAGGAGAGCTGTTCAGCAAAATTGCATCAGAACCAGGTAATTACAAGTTTGAATGTCTGTACATGTGTTTTGAAAATATGATTTTTTCTAAATATATATGAAATGTATTTTATGCATTGTCGTTATGTAATATCGTAGTATCCCTACTAATTTCTAGCTCACTGTGAACTGAAGGGCCATTTGAACTATTGGTATCACTTGGTTATATTTGACATATCTTCTCTGAAACCACCTATAATCCTCAGGGTATTAATACAAATAAGTAGCTTAGCCAAGAGTACACGAAACGGCCTTTTTGTGGATATTGAAATTGTTTCCAAAATAAAGAATGATATCTAGAAGGTATTTAATTAGAAGCAAACAAAATGTCTCTTTAGAAAAACATGCATGAGAATACCCTTAAGCGTATAAATATTGTATCAAATATAACTCTTTAAAGTCCCTAAACTCTGGAATTGAAAACAAGAACATTATCATAATCTAAAGTAAGTCTACATTTACCAATCCTAACAACAGTGTTGAGTTTTTAGTAATTTGATCTATATACTGGCTTCTACGGTTGCCTATAATTGCTCACATCCACTTCATTTGAACTCTGGTGGATAGTTATCTCATTGGCAATCATACCTCAGCTTCTTATTTTTATATTCTATTTATCTGACGGTAATAGTACAATTACCCTTAAATAACATCACGGATATTTTTTTAAACAAACAGTGTGTTATGTTCACCTATTCCCAAAAACTATCTGAAGTTTCCAGTTAATCAATCAAAGCAAAATTAAGATATGCTACAACATAACGACAAACCAGAATAAATAGAATATAAACGGACCTTTCATTTATCTATCACAACAATAATGTGTTGAGGAATTCAATTCAGACATATTAGTACTTGAGTAAGTGCGTAATATCTGTAAAATTGCTTTAATTCAAATGATTAAAGTCCCGTAACTCTGGAACGACAAAGCCAAAAATTTTCAAAACTGAGATCCGTCAATTCCTATGTGTGAAAATAACATGAAAATTGTTTTAGAAAATTTGGATTATCATACGAAGTATTGACGGACGGACGGACGGACGGCCGGACATTGGTATTCCTTATACGTTCCGTCTTCTAAGGGCGTTTACAATCCTGACACTTATGACGGATATGGTCAAAACTAAACCAATGTCACTTCAGAAGATCACATGTACTTTGATAAATGAATTTCTCAAGGATAATTATAGGTTTGCCACGAAAAAAATCAATAATAATTTCGATGGGAAAAGCTAGTGATCCCATAGGGTAATTTAAGTTCCAAAAGCTTTGTTCCCATGGTAATATTTTTTCTAAAGATGAGAATTATTTTTTAATCATGGGATAAAATAAAAGATAGAGTATTTGTATAAAAATTACATCATTTTGTTGCAAATGAGTTTTGTGTGTTTCGAACAAAGTTATCTCATAAGGTTACATTAATCTACCTTAATACGGGAATCAATTCATCTCATTTTCCCCTTCAAACCATTTTTAAATTTACAAATTTACTTCCCTTTCATTGCCATATAATTGATTTTACTTTTTTAATCATGTTATCGTAAAAGGGAGATTTTTTTGGTAGATTTTATAAATTTTAACAATAACAAGACCAACTACTTACAATTTCTAATACTTATTTATGTTGTATGTTTTTTACAATGAAATATAATGATAATAATAAAATGTCAATAAATATCAGTGTTAATCCTGTACAATCATTGCAGTGTTTAAGGAATGCATGTCCAGGCGTCAACCAGGTGTCAACCAGGCGGAAACCAAGCGTATCTGAGGCGGAAACCAGGCGTAAAATTAGGCGTAATATTTAAATGAGTACGCCTGGTCCAGAGAAAACCATGCGTAATATGCAAATGAGTACGCCTGGTCAATAAATAAACCAGACGTAATATCCTTACATAATAGTACACTTATTTCAAATCAGTGTATTACCCTAGCTGTGTTCTTTTGTGTATTTAATACAAACTTCTGTACTGTTGCTTTAATTTCTCATTGTTTGACATAAAACTGGAAATATTAACCATTGAAGAAGCTAATATATAAATAAATACATTTTAGACAGTCACTGCCACTGGCTCAAATAAGTTTAAAGTTTAAATAAGAATTATGACAATTAATTTTTCTTGAAATAAAACTTAAGCATTTTAATTAACTAAGTTTTTTATAAATTAATGTCCTTTAAAATATAATGATAATACTGCAATTTAACTTCATGTAAAAGATTTTAATGTTATTATCCAAGGTTAAAGGTTTTGGGATTTCAAAATTACTGTTAGAACTTAAAACTTAATAACTTAGGTTATACTCACATAATTATTATTTACCATGTTTTACTTTCCATTTTTTCACAATTTTTATTAATCAATTTGATTCCATATTTCCAATTTCAAATTCTTTCAAAAAGCACAAAACAAGCTAATTATCCCTGAACATATGAAGCACCATAAGTCCAACTCTTGCAAACTAAAATCAAAGAGCCAAATTTTGAAAAAAATTCCCATGATCCTTTAAACAAAGCATTATGGGTATTATGATTTACGCCATACCAACAGTTTTACTCCCGTAAGAAAATTTACGCCTTCCTTATTTCAATTTACGCCAGGTTTGCCACTTTTTTCTACGCCCGTAAGGACTACAAATTTACGTTTCCTGCTCCCTTACGCCTGGATCTAGACACGTAAGTACCACTTCCGCCTGGTTCACGCCTTATTTCCAGGCGTAATACGCCTTATAATTTCATACGGGATTTGCAATGTTGTTGGTTCCCATCTATAATGGTTCAGGTGTTGAAAAATATGGTGTCTCCAAAAGATGAAAACAACACGTTATAGATTTCATGCTTCCAAAGCTCTTTTCTTGATTTAGCTTTATTAGGGACGCTCAAAGCCAAATATTTGAAAGCCAAGAATGTATGAAAATCGAAACAGTTGAATAGCTCTGTGACAAAAAAGAACCTAAACAAATAGCAAAATCCATCTAAGGTCATAGAAATGCAGACTTAGTTGCATAAATTTTCATTAATACATACATATTTATTTTCTTATCTTATGATCACAAGTCTTACATGTTTAATAAACACAACACAATTTCATAAACATTTTAAATAACTCGACTAAAAAGGGAGGAAATTCAGTTTTATAGCTAGAATATACTGTCAATTCACCTATTTTGCTTAAGCAATGAAATTGACAACTCTGACATAGATCATTGAAGCTATCTATTTCCTTATATGTTGTTCCTGAATCTTTATCTTTTGTTTTGTTTTTGCATGAACTAAGGCTAAATAGTAAGTAACATCTGATAAAATGTTTAAGCATAGAAGATATTTTCAAAATTTTTATTATAAAGATAAAAGAACACTCCAATATTAGAGTATTGTATTTTAAAACATTCAAGCCATGCTATTTCACTTGTTATGTGATTTAATACTCGCTTAAAACTATTAAAGGGGGCATCGGTGACCAAGTAGTCTAAGTAGTTCATCTATATCACTATATAAAACTATATCACAAGCCTATCACTGATGTTGTGAGTTCAAGTCAAGCATTCGACCCCAATCTTTATTGACTACAATTATCTGATTTCCTGCTGCAGGTCGGTGGTTCACCAATAATAGTAAGCGGCCAAGATATAACCAACATTGCTGAAAGTGGCGTATAACACAAAAAAAAGCAATCCATCAATCATCTATTAAATGATTACAGCTAAAAACATTATGTTCATAAACGTACATATGAAATGTGTGATATGAAACAGTTCTTTAAATAAGTAAGCTATGTCTATGTGAAAGTAATGTCTCCTTTTCAATCCATTAATATAAATCATGATCTCTTTGACTTTGAGCAAATGGGTTATAACATAAACGGTACCAATTTTACTTCACCAGATTCGCATATCGATACTGGATACTGTAAATAAATAATATAAAAATATTTATGATACACTGGTATGTGAAAACAATTTTGTGTTTGTTTTTGGATTTTTGTGGGGTTTTTTAGTGGACGTAAGACCCATTGTTATAGGAGTTATGCCCCTTTTTGAAATTCCTCTGAGAATTTTTTTTTTCGTATCCGCAAGGAAATAGAGATCCCTTAAGAAATTACTTTTAGATCTAGTACTTCCATGAGGAAATTTTAAACAAACAATATCCTCAAAGGAAATCTCTTTCTTCTATGAAAATTTAACGATATCAAATTTCCCCTAAAAAATTAACAAAACTGAAAAGTTCTTTGAAGAAATATTAAACAAACTATTTCAGCAAAGCTAATTTCTGGCACATCACGTTTCTCCGAAATCATGGAAAATAAGTAACGATTCATTACGTAAATATAGGTTTAAGAATGTTCAAAAGTTCCCTTATGTGACACTGGTCCATGAACGTATAGATTCAATGTTGACGTGTACGAATTGTGTTGATAATGAATTATTATCCTACCCACGGAGGAGGAGACCGGTGGAATCTCATCTTTCTCTTTCTTTGCTAGTTTTTATATCTTCTTATCTTCCTTGACTTGTATAAGTTTATTAATTGTCCGCAAGATATATGTAGTACATGTACGACTGTCAAAATTGATTGTTTAATAAAATTTATGGTCTATTAATAGAGTACACCTTTGTCTGTATGTAATAACATATTGTTTCTATACAAATTGTGTTAGACATTTCTCCCTTGGCAACAAGAACCAAAATTCGGTTTTCAATTTATATTGTTCCTCACGTTTTCATCTTCCTTTACATATATGGTTATAAGTACTAATGTTAAATCTGTAATTTCTTGGCAAAATTCATCCGCCACCTTCATAATATACAGTTTATATTATTTTAAATATAATATAAAAGTTCGCAATTCAATTCTATATACAAAGTTTACATAAATTCTTATGGATTACATGTATATTGACCTACAATTGTTAACTTTTTATGAATTGTGACTTGGATGGAGAGTTGTCTCATTGGCACTCATACCACATCTTCTTATTTATATATACATTGTTCATAAA